ACAATTTTCATCCTGTACATGTAAAGTCTGCCTTTACAGGGACTTGAGGGAAACTCTCAGTCTTCTGTGCCTACCCTTTGTATAAAGCTTCCTCATCTCTGGTATTCTTCTCCACAAGTTCTAGCCATCATAGCAACTCCAAACTCTGATATCTGCCTCAGCTCAGCATGAATACCACTCCACTCAGGCTTTCTCTCCCTGTACCAGAGTTGTAACTGGGGAAGTCTGCATCCAGTCTTCCCTGGGCGAACAATAGAGTTAATATGAAATGTTTTCCTTCTTTTAAGGATTATAGTCTTGAGCTACCCATTCCTCAATGCCTAAAAAGAACTGCCTTGCATGTTTTGTCCAGTTTTATAATTGTTTAGGATATGAGGGCAAGACAAATACCAATAACTCTCTCATGGATTTAAGGATCCTACTCAAAGTCCATATTCTTAACCACATTATATTACCTCTATCATGGGATTCCACATTATAGGAAAAACCGTTAAATGGAAAGTATACACACACACACACATTTATTTAAGATTTATCCATTTGTTTTAGAGAGAAAGAGACAGAGAATGAGTGGGGGGAGGGACAGAGGGAGAGTGAGAAAATCTTAGACTCCCTGCTGAGCATGGAGCTTTGAAGTGAGGTTCAATCCTATGACCCTGAGATCACAATCTGAACCAAAATCAAGAGTTGGATGCCAAATAAACCGAGCCACCCAGGTGCCCCAGATATACGTTCTTTTTTTTTTTTAATTTTGTTTATTTATTCATGAGAGACAGAGAGAGGGAGAGACACAGGCAGAGGGAGAAGCAGGCTCCATGCAGGGAGCCTGATGTGGGACTCGATCCTCGGTCTCCAGGATCACACCCTGAGCCAAAGGCAGGAGCTTACCTGCTAACCACCCAGGCATCCCTATACTTTCTTAATAATATGGAAAAATATCAACAGGGATTAGAGAGAGAGATGAAAAGATAAGATTGTTGTCAGTGGGAATGCTGGAATGTAAGATTTCATAGATGAAACACAATTAACAAGAACCTATAGGCATGGAGGGCTTAAGCAGAATAGTCTAATCGCTATGTTTTGCATAGAGAGAACAGTGACCTGACAGCCACCAGATTATGGTCTTTGACTGCAAGAACTGGGTGAATGAAGGGATCCCTGGGTGGTTCAGCGGTTTGGCGCCTGCCTTTGGCCCAGGGCGCGATCCTGGAGTCCCAGGATCGAGTCCCATGTGGGGCTCCCGGTATGGAGCCCGCTTTTCCCTCCTCCTGTGTCTCTGCCACCCCCCCATCATAAATAACAAATAAAATAAAATAAATCTTAAAAAAAAAAGAACTGGGTAAATGATGATGCAAAATAAGCAAACATCTAAACAAAAGGAAAATACGAAAGCAGGACAGGCAAATTTTGAGAAGATATCATGACTTTAGTTTTGGATAAATTTAAAGTCTTCTTTAAAAAATATCTATAGGATATGCAGGGAACTTTCTGGATAGGCCAATGAAAATACAGATCTGTTGCAAGAAAAAAAATGAAGATACAGATCTGAAAGTTATTACCATAAGGATTATTACTGAAGCAACAGGTCTGGATGAGATGATGTAAGAACATGTATCTTCAGAAGAGGAAGGTAGAAGCCTAGGAAATCCCAGTGTTTTAAAGTAGGCAGATAAGTATACGAAGAATGGATATTTAAAGAAGTAAAAGGCAATACAAAGAGGCAATGTGGCTTTAGTAGTTAAGAGCATGGACTTTGGAGTCAGTTCAAATCTCAGCTGTTATAAAGTTACCATGACCATGAGAAAAATTATTTAACCTTTCTGTGCCTGTTTTCTCTTCTGTAAAACACAGTGAAAAATACTAGCACTTGCCTAATGAGAGACAATCACGATAGCTCTGGAGGCTCAGCCCCCAATCTCCTGTCCTCTCAAACTTTTAGTAGCAAAGACAGGTGTATCAACAAATTTCAGTTAGCTCAACAGAGGAACAGAAAGGTTCCCTCTCTCTAAAATGGCCACTTCATCTACAAAGACTTTTCTATTAGTGCATAGCTACACAGATATTCCCTATCCCATTCCAATAATAAATATGTAGAATACACTGGGTGATGTTATATGTTGGCAAATTGAATTTAATAAAAAATTAAATATGTAGAATATTTTTTGAATTATTTTTTTAAAGATTATTTATTTATTAATGAGAGACACAGAAAGCGAGAGATAGACATAGGCAGAGGGAGAAGCAGCCTCCATGCAGGGAACTCGATGTGGGACTCGATCCCAGAACTCCAGGATCACTCCCCAGGCTGAAGGCAGACATACTTAACTGCTGAACCACCCAGGCATCCCAAATATGTAGAATATTACTGAGGCAGGGTTTCTTTCCACTGGAACTCTGAAGACAGTGCATGCAGACTATGCCTAAGCTATAGGATAAGAGTTTGAGGGCTTGTGTGTATTCTATTACTACCCTCTTTGTAAACTTTTCCTCAATAAACTATTTTAGATCTATATCATATGGTACTATAGTGCTGTGTTGCATGACCTCCTGGAAAGATATTACCTCACAGTTGTTCCTCATTACAAATATAGTAGTATTTGTAAAGAGTTTACAACATTGCCTGGCACGTAGTGTGCATTACATAAAGATTAGCTATTTGTTTTTAAAAGGAGAATTAGGAAAGACCAGCAATGCTCTAGAGCAAGATCAAGAGATAACACAGGAGAGCTGGTAAACAATCTCAAATGCTACCAAAAATCAAATAATGAAAACAGGATGCTAGATGTGGCAACAGTGGTAGATAGAAGTCAGATTGTATTAGGTTAAGGATTGCTTTGGAAGTAAAGAGTAAAACACGGAATACAGAATGGTTTTTCTAAGATATTTGGTGGCAAAAAATAAAAGACAAAGTGTATTGATTAGTGCTTTTTTGCTTGCAAGTGACAGAAATCCAATTTGAATGAGCTTTATAAAAGGGCTTACTATAAGAATATTGTGGTATCTCAAAATGCAAGGTCACTAATGTGGCTGAGTCTCAAAAGCATGTGGAACCAAGATCTTGAGTTATTCTTTTTCTTGTTCTTCTCTGTAGGTTTGTTTCATTTTCTCTCCTTCTTTGTCCAGACTAGTTGCATTGCTGCTTTGGCCCACATGGTAGGAAAGATGGCTATCAAGAACTCTGGAGTCTTGGATTTTATAGTGAAGGCATGCAAAAAGATAGTGGAGTTTGTTTGCAGTCTCAGTTTCAAAATTCCTTAAGAAAAGACTCTGGCTCCACCTAAACAAAGTATCTAACCCTGGATGAATCAACAGTAGCCAGGGATTATGGAGGTGAATGGATTAGAGCATAACACGGCTATTCCAATTGCAACTATATGTGAAATCCAATGTGATGTGGAAAAGTTCAAATAAGATAAGTATATACTATAAGGACACAGTATTTTCTTGAGGAGTAGGTATTATAAGGGTGGTGTTTTAGTTTTCGTTGTTTAGGCCACGGAAGCAATTTGAACATATTTATATGAATGAAAGAAACCAAAGGGATAGAATTAAAGATAAAGGACAAGACATGGGATATTTAATACAGTAAAATCATATAATCAAAGGGAAAGAATGGAATTTAGCATACAAGTACAAGGACTGGCCATTTAGAGAAATAGGCTTTTCTGAGATAGGAGGGAAGAAAAAATGAATGCATGCTGACATAGGCAGGTCTATAAAGATGAAGGAAATTGAGGGAGATTGGACCTGAAGATCTCCTCTGAAGTATGTGGCTAAGTTGTCTCTTGAAAGTATGGAAGATGCAGTAAAGCAGGTAGTTGAAAAGACTAACAAATATTAACATTCCTGTCAACAGGAAGAGAAAGGAAGCTAAGAGGAAGAGGTTAGAGTTTGTCAAAATTAACAGTCCATCTCAGATTGGAAACTAAATTAATGAAGGTGTCAGATGTATAATGTGACTAAATAATGTTCACTAGGCCATTAACAAGAGCTCATAAGGCACATGGTAGAAAGTTAGGGGAAAGGGAAATAGGGTACTAAGAAGACTAACAATAATTTAACTCTTAGGGTCACTAGCAAGTAGCAGTAAAAAGATAAACTTTATTCTATTCCTGACAAGTAATTACAAATTCTGAAATAGTGTTATTCAAATAGTACTATCAACATTAATGGCTTTACTATTTACATATTAGAAAAAAATTAACTCCATATTATTTTTTAAGGACATATTTATATACACTTTAAATATTTGGTCTAAAGACAACAAATTTGAACTTTTGGGAGGTTTTTTAATTTGAAGGTTTGAATATGTCATCTTCATTTTGCTGCATTTTTTTATTCTACCATAAGGCTAGCTATGTCTAAATGGGGCCATTAACCCAAAGTCCATCTCATGATACTTAACAACAAATCCCTTTCTTTGAAACACATACTTGTGTCATTATGTTAATTCTACACACACACACACACACACACACACACACACACACCATGTATAATAATATCTATACCTCACAAAATAGATTATGTGAGGGGTGCCTGGGTGGCTCAGGGAGTTAAGCATCTACCTTCAGCTCAGGTCATGATCTTAGATCCTAGGACAGAGCCCCAGCATCAGGCTTCCTGCTTGGTGGGGAGTTGGCTTCTCCTTCTCTTTGCTCCTTCCCCATCTCATGCTTTTTTTCCTCTCATATAAATAAAATAAAATAGATTATGTAAATTTAATGAGTTAACAAATAGTGATTGAAAAATGAATGGTAAACACTCAACAAATGCTAGCCATTATTAGTACAATTATGAACCTGTGGCAGAATGACTTCTAAATTCATATTACTTATTTTAAAAATAAAGTATTACTAGGAAAGTAAGCAAAAAATGTTAGTCTAATTGAAAATACAAGTTAGTAAATGTACTTATTATGCATTTTAACATAAAAAACAAAGACAAGGTAGGTGGCAAGTTTTAAACCAAAAACGAACTTTCACAAAAAAATCTTTAGAAAACTTTTTAAAAATATACTGAAAAATTTATTCAAAAGCAATAAAATAACAGCTTCTATGAAATATGAGCTACATGTAATAAACACAGTACCAAAAATCTCATTTTTCATCACATCAATATCTTCATTTAATTACAAATTTTCTCCCTGGAATAATGCAAAAAAAAAAAAAAAGATTAGCTTTTGAAATATCCTTGTATTAACTTAGCATTAATGTCTACTATAATAATCAGGAGCATAAATAAAGCAAGAATGGGAAATATTTACTCAATTAAGAAATATGAATCAGGGAAAGTCAATAATGGACCACATGGATTATAAAAAGTAATTCTGGTTGAGGGGCAGTGGGAGGGAGTGCAAAGTTAAACTAAATTTATTTATAAAACAAAAACAGGGGGCAGCCTGGGTGGCTCATTGGTTTAACGCCACCTTTGGCCCAGGGTGTGATCCTGGGGACCTGGGATCAAGTCCTGCATTGGGCTCCCTGCATGGAGTCTGCTTCTCCCTCTGCCTCTCTCTGCCTCTGTCTCTGCCTCTCTCTCTCTCTTTCTATCTCTATCTCTATCTCTCATGAATAAATAAATAAAATCTTTTTTTAAAAAAAGCAAAACAAAAACAGAAGACCTAAGTAAGATATTTAGACACTGGTGTCACATTATGGTTTTGACTGAGGGCACATTAAGGAAGGGAGATGAAGGGCTACATGAAAAAAAGTGAAAAAGAAAAGGAAAAAAAGCAGGAAAGGGAAATAATGATAGAAATGTTTGCACAAAGAAACAGCACAACATAGAGAAGTAGAAAAATACAGGGAAAAGGCCCAGGAGTTGTTGTTGTTGTTGTTTTGTTTTGTTTTGTTTTAAAGAGAGAGAGAAAAGGAGAGCAAGGGGAGGGGCAGAGGGAGAAAGAGAATCTTAAGCCTTCTTTCCATCTCTGTTTTCCCTACAGCTGACATTCTCAATTCTTATTTTTCATCTTATTGCATGGCATATGGACCACATTTGTAAAATGGTCCTACTACTTTTCCTTTTTGGAAATAAGATAGATATAAACAATACTTCTTATAACTTCCTATTAAACTGTGAATTAGCTAATTAATCAGTATTCACAGCACAGTATTCCACCATTCAAATCTCAAACAAGAGTTTTTAACTTGATGTCTGTGAACTCCTTGATAATGTGTCCAAAATTTTGTGCATATGCAATTTTTTGTGATTTCTGAAGCTTTTGTCAGTAGCTTTATTGTGAATGGAACTGGCAATATAGTTAACTTTTAGAAAAATCATTATTTGGGTTACAACAGTAAAAGAGCTAACACTTATTAAATACTTCTCACACAGTAATTTCTAGGTTTTTTTTCTGCTGTATCAGTGGACTTTAAAATTGCACACTTTGGAGCAGGGCTGGATTAAGACCAACTAATGCCCTCAACACAGCCCAACAATGATGCCCCCTAACCCATCCATTGCTTAAGATAAAGAGCTTCAGGGTTCTTTACACAAATCAGTGCATGACATAAATGCCAATTGGTTAAGTGGAACTCACACCATAGTCAGAAAAAAATGTAATACCTTCATATCAAACTTAGCCCTGAGTCAGTCACTCACTATACCAAAGAAAAAAAGATACATTAACAGTGCACATTAAATTGCAACATAGCAGATAAAGACAATTACAAAACAATTTCCTACACTTAAGTGTGGCAGTGAAAGAGTAAAGGGCATGATAGCCAGGGCCAAAAACTGTGGTGTTCCCCTTCTCTTGGTGCCCTGAACTCAAGCTTATTTTCCTCAAAGGTTAATCCAGGGCTGCTTTGGAGTCTTTGCATAAGCAGACATGTAAAGAAGTGAACAAGTAAGTAACTGGTTAAAGGTCAGACACAATCCACCTTTAATCAGATAAATTATCTTTATACCTGACTGACATATTTGGGTTTCTTTATAACATTATATTTAAATAATAGGTTCCTTGGCTTAAAAAAAAAAAAGTTTAAAATTTCCACTTTTAAAACACCAAGGAACACCTGGGTGGCTCAGCAGTTGAACATCTGCCTTTGGCCCAGGGCGTGATCCTGGAGTCCCAGAACTGGGTCCCACGTCGGGCTCCCTGCATGGAGCCTGCTTCTCCCTCTGCCTGTGTCTCCACCTCTCTCTCTCTCTCTGTCTCTCATATAATAAATTAAAAAAATCTTAAAAAACAAAACAAAACAATGGAATGTCATACTTCAGTGTGGGTGACATGAGCTAAGGGCTGGAAATGGCCAATAGATCAAGGTTCTACAACCCAATTTAAAATATGTCAAGTTTTATATTTATTAATGCAATATACATGTAAATGACCATGAAGTTAGTCTGTCAAATCATAGCAAGTCAGAATTTCTTTCAATGATAGTAGTCTTGCTCTGAATTTTCTCACCTTATGTTAAAACAAACACTCCCAAAAAAACACTGGGGGGAAACAAAGGAGTCCCTACAGAGAAAGTATTGAGATGTTTTCAGTTATCTCTCTCTCAAGAGTAAAGTTAAAATGCAAGTAATGATCATCCAAAAATTGAATAAAACCCACAGATGAGCATTTGTCAAGCATCAGTCCAGTATGGGTTCCAAAGGTACAGAACGGAGTTCTGAGCAACCCAAAGAACCAGCCGCTTTTGTTAAAGACAAAATTAAACCAAGACAGGTAATGCAATTGAGGCTCATGAGCTATGAGGCCCACGTGAGATTAACATTGAGTACTGACTGTGGTTAGTACATTTAAAACTCAGCAGAGCATTAAAACTAGATGTGAACGGAATTTAGCTTTGGCTTGATTTTCTAAAAAAACTGGATTTAGAATTTTGCATATTTTAATTTCGCTCTGAGCTTCCATTACAACATAATAAGTATAATGACTTGAATTATTTAAATGCATCTGTTTATTCCAATGACCTACAGAGAGAAATCATCCCACCAATCAGTTATGTAGTAACTTTTAAGTCCTAAACTCTTAATCTCTAATTGATTAAGCAGTACAAGACCAAACTATGTAAACAGTACTGAAGAAACTATAGACACAACTATGTAATCAGTATAACAAAAGTAGTTCAGAACATTCCAATCAACAAGAGTCCAGGGCTGGAAGTCTTCCCAGATAATTCTACCCACACATTTAAGAAGAACTAATACCCATTCTTCTGAAGCAGTTTCAAAAATAGAAGTGGAAGGAAAACTTCCAAACTCTTTCTATGAGGCCAGCATTACCGTGATCCCAAAACCAGACTAAGATTCTACCAAAAAGGAAAATTACAGAGCAATATCCTCGATGAACATGGATACCAAAGTATTCACCAAGATACTAGCCAACAGGATCCAACAGTACATTATTAGAAGGATTATTCACCACTACCAGGTGGAATTTATTCCTGGGCTGCAGGGGTGGTTCAACACCTGCAAATCAATGTGAAACATCACATTAATAAAAGAAAGGACAAGAACCATATGATCCTCTCAATAGATGCAGAAAATGCATTTGACAAAATAAGCCTCCTTTCTTGATTAAAACTCTGAAGAGTATATGGAAAGAAGGAACACCTCAATATCATAAAAAGCCATTATCAAAAACCCACAGCAAATATACTTCTCAATGGGGAAAAACTGAGAGCTTTTCCCCTAAGGTCAGGAACATGATAGGGATGCTCACTCTTACCACTGTTGTTCAACATAGTGCTAGAAGTCTTAGCCTCAGCAATCAGACAACAAAAAGAAAAAAAAAGGCATCTGAACTGGCAAAGAAGTCAAACTCACTCTTTGCAGATGACATGACACTCTTAGGTGGAAAATCTAAAGACTCCACCCAAAATTGCTAGAACGCATACAAGATTTCAGTAATGTGGCAGGATATAAAATCAATGCACAGAAATAAGTTGCATTTCTATATACTAACAATAAGATAGAAGAAGAGGAATTAAGGGAGCAATCCCATTTACAATAGCACCAAAAACCGTAAGATACCTGGGAATAAACCTAACCAAAGAGCCAAAGGGTTTATACTCTGAAAACAATAGAACATTCATGAAAGAAATTGATAAAGACACAAAGAAATGGAAAAATGTTCCATGCTCATGGATTGGAAGAACAGATATATATATTTTTAATTTTATTTATTTATTCATAGAGACACAGAGAGAGAGAGAGAGACAGAGACACAGGCAGAGGGAGAAGCAGATTCTATGCGGGGAACCCGACATGGGACTCGATCCTGCGTCTCCAGGATCACACCCTGGGCTGCAGGCGGCACTAAACCACTGCGCCACCGGGGCTGCCCAGAAGAACAGATATTGTTAAAATGTCTATGCTATCCAAAGCAATCTATACATTCAATGTAATCCATATCAAAATACCATCAACTTTTATCACAGAGCTGGAACAAATAATCCTAAATATTGTATGGAACCAGAATAGACCCCAAATAGCCAAAGGAATGTTGAAAAAGAAAACGAAAGCTGGGGGCAACACAATTCTGGACTTCAAACTATATTACAAAGCTGTAATCATCAAGACAGTATGGTACTGGCACAAAAACACATAGATCAATGGAACAGAATAGAGAACCGAGAACTCTACAGTCAACTAATTTTCAACAAAGCAAGAAAGAATATCCAATGGAAAAAGTCTCTTCAACAAATGGTTTTGGGATAGTTGGACAGCCACATGCAGAAGAATCAAACTGGACCATTTTCTTACACCATACCCAAAAAGAGACTCAAAATGGATTAAAGACCTAAATGTGATAAAGGAATCCATCAAAATCCTAGAGGAGAACACAGGCAGCAACCTCTGTGACCTCAGCCACAGCAACTTCTTACTAGACACATCTCCAAAGGCAAAGGAGACAAAGGCAAAAGTGAACTACTGGGACTTCATCAAGATAAAAAGCTTTTGTGCAGCAAAAGAAACAGCTGACAAAATCAAAAGACGGCTAAAAGACTGGGAGAAGACATTTGTAAACTTCTTATCAGATAGAGGGCTAGTATCCAAAATCTATAAAGAATTTATCAAACTCCACACCGAAAGAACAAATAATCCAATCAAGAAATGGGCAGAAGACATGAACAGACCTTTCTCCAAAGAAGACATACAAATGACCAACAGACACATGAAAAAATGCTCAAC